CTGGAGCTTTACTTCCATCACAACTCTTCAAACCTTCTTCAATCTCCTCAACAGTAAAAGGCCTTTCAAGCCACTCCTTCTAATCCTTAGAAATTCTCCAAAAAACCAGATTTGAAGGTTTGGGTCGATTCCGAGCGTCTTCTTGAAACATCTTGCGAAAGTACTTCACCATCTCATCCTTGACCATATCTGGATCCTCTACCCACTGACCATTAGACCATAATCCTGAGATACTATTTTGGGCCTTCCTCCTATTTGCAATTTTGTGAAAATATCTTGCATTCTGATCCCCCAGTTTAACCCAATCACTTCTAGATTTTTGCTTCCAAATAGCCTCCCTTTTCCACAAAATATCCCATAACTACTGGAAACCTTCCTTTCTCAGATCCACCTCCCTTTCCTCCAATTCTATCAATTCATTCTTCAAATCAATCTGTTCTATGCTATTGGCCACACGTTGAAATTGTGCTTCCATGTTTCCAAACACCTCCTTATTCCATCCTTTTAAAAATTCCTTCAACCTCTTAAGCTTCTATTTACATCTATATCCCGCGTATCCTTCCTCATCGAACTCCTTCCATTTATCTTCAACCACCTTATTAAACTGTGGGAGCTATTGCCAACCATCCAAAACCCGAAACGGTTTTGGTCACCAATCAACTACTGTTGTTTTTACCACAATAGGAAAATGATCAGACACAGTCCTCTTCAATCCATGCTACACCCATCCCTTTCCCAAACTGTACATCTCACTAGACATTAGGACCTTATCCAAACGACTCATAAATGACCCATCTAGTCGATACCATGTAAAACTTCTATTTGCCAATTGAATATCTACCAACCCAATTGACACAACAAACTCATCAAACTCCCTCATATCTTGAGACTCCCCTGTCTTACCCTTCCTTTCGTTAGGACTCCTAACTACATTAAAATCCCCTGCAATCATCAATCTACCTTCCTCTTCCATTATCATTTGCCGAAGTTCTTCCCACAGTATCACATTCTTCTGCTTGTCATTTGAGGCATAGACATTCACAAAGTTACACTTCATATTCTTAGGTCCTCATTCTCCTATAATCCGCAAAAAACCATCACCTAAACTTACCCCCTGTTTTACAAACTCCAGTCTATTCCAAATACACAATAAACCCCAGAGGCTTCAATTGATTCTTTCATCACCCAATCATAATCATCTAAAAACCACAACATTTTACATAAAGCGCCCTCCACCTTTTCTAATTTTGTCTCCTATAGAAATAAAAAATTTGGACACTCTGCTCTTACCAACTTACTCACCTCTTTCCTCTTCACCGTACCCCCTAACCCCTTCACATTAAATAAAATTAACTTCATAAGTATATCACAAAAACACACCCCACACTAGCAATCACCTCTACCCTTGCTACACCTTCCTCTGCCCGGCTTCCCAAACCTCCAACTTTAACAACCTCGACTAAATCTCCTCTTCATCATCTTGCAACTGTAT